TACATGACCTTAGTAAAAGTATGCAGTATACTGTGTACATGACCTTAATAAAAGTATGCATTATACTGTGCACATGACCTTATTTAAAGTACTAAATATACTGTGTACATGACCTTACTAAAAGTACTAAATATACTGTGTACATGACCTTACTAAAAGTATGCAGTACACTGTGTACATGACTGTTAGAATGGCCCTTAGTGGCTGGATTAAGCAGGAGAATTGAGGCAGAGAAAAGGTGCAGACCCACTGGGTGTTTATTTACCAACATTGAACAGAGGACCATGCTTCACTGGTCACCTAGTGTCTCAGCAGTAGAAAAAAATGTTGCTTACAGGCAGCCTTTTATAGTCTACTACCCCCTCCCATTAACAGACCTACCATGAAGCAGGGTAAACAAAATAAATAAACATTAACAAACTTCTACAAAAAATAACTGAAACATCAAAATACTTTCTTTAACAAACATTATCAATCACTAAACACATCTCTTAAAAACACATTTTCTCTAGATATAAATATATACCATTAAATTTCTCAAGTGCACAGTTTTCTTCCCCCCTTCAATCAATAATGGTCTCTTCCGGAACCTTTAAAAAGGTGCTCAGGTGCCTGGGCAGTGTTGCCAGGTGTACGATATTTATCGTATTTTTACAACAATTTTGCCCTTTGTATGATGTACGATAAATAATACCAAGAAAGGCCAAAAATATGATAATTTGACCATTCCGTGAATGTGTGGTTGTAATCAGTTGTCATCAGCCTCTCGCAACTCTGTCGGAGTTTTTTTTGTGAACCCCGAAGGCATCCGTGTCCGTAAACAAATGCACGATTTTGCTTTTCTAAATGTGACCTACGAGTGACGTGCATGTGTTTGCCTCAGAACAACATGTGACCTATGAGTGACGTGCATGCGTTTGCCTCAGAACAACGGGCATGATTGGCTGAATAGTCCGCTGCGCCTGCCTCATGAGTGAGGAAAAGAAAAAAAGAAAAGAAGAAGAAGCAGAGCCCGTCTGGAAGCGGACCCATCACTACTATAGTGCATCAATTAATTCAATCTTTATTTAAACAGATAAATCACATTGAGCCTTGAAGACTCATTTACAAGTGAGACCTGTTTGGACTGACAAAAACAGCGGTTAACTGGACACATGTAGGAGTTGGAGTCGATATCTATCTATCTATCTATCTATCTATCTATCTATCTATCTATCTATCTATCTATCTATCTATCTATATATATATATATATATATCTATATATATATATATATATATATCTATATATATATATCTATATATATATGTGTATACATGTATGTATATGCAACAGCATCAAGCTTGATTCAAGTCTAAGGTCACGGCACCAATGTAACAGTTATGTAACCCGTCCTGTCAAAAACACTCTCAAAAGCCAATGGGTTGGATGAGGTAGCACTTTACTTTAAATGAGTGTTTCAGAGCATAAATATAGCATGGTCAGCTCCTCTACTGGCACAAATATCACAGCAGAGCGTTAGGAAGACTGTGAAGATTTTCAAAGATCTGTTACAATGACTTTTAACACTATTCTTTTAAACATGTGATCATATAGTGGTTTTAGCATTAATGCTTTACAACAAATCTAATACAATCTGTTTTAACCCGACAACCATTTTTTTCAACGAAATATGAAATTTGAATAATAAATGCTGACAGCAGTTAAAATGAATTATTAAATTTCTCTACAACACTCTCTGGTGGTTCACAGAAAATATAACAGGCACATTGTGTCGTCATGACAACCAACAGACTGTGCAAAACTGTATACAAATTTGCAAATGCATTAAATTGCTCTACAATACCCTCTAGTGGCTCACAGAAAATATAACAGGCAAGTTGTGTTGTCATGACAACCAACAGACACTAACTGACTTAACTCAGAGCATTTAGTATAACACAATAAATTACTGTAAATGATTGGTTCAGAGCATAAACAGCATGGTCAGCTCATACTAGCACAAATATCTCAGAAAAATAGCATCAAACAAACTGTCTCGTGAGCTTTTTTTTTTTTTAGAAGATAACCGGACTGTACGACTTGCCACAGCAGAGTTAGGAAGATTGTGATAAAATTTTAGTTTCCGGTCATATTTATATCGTATCAGTATAGGGCGCCAAAGCCCACTCATTACAGGACAACTATTATACATATTTTAGTAGGAATTTCATTACAATAATCTAAGTATTTCTTATACCCGTTACATATATACATATACAGTACTTAGATAAACCTGATGTCCTTAGTGGCAGTTGAATTTGATTTTTATGGGGCGTTCAAGTGCTTTTATTTTTCCCAGATGCCAACATCCAACATTGGAAAACCTGAGAATTAGAGTGCCTTCTTTTGCTGCTAATTCTTCCAGTTATGTTTGTATATTATGACCTTTGACCCTCTAATGTAACTGTTATCTTGTTCACCTCCTCACTTGTCCTTGTTATTTTTATTTACTGTCACTGAAGCCACTGTGACATCATTTGGTCTAAAATGAAGCACATGCTCTGTAGCATTCAGCGGCCTCCCTTCCTCATCCCTCAGCTGGGAAAAGATTTCCTTGAGTAACGCTTTCAGTCTGTGTTTCATTTCCTGCGTGTGCCTCAGGGCTTCCCGTTTTTCTCTGAGCAGATGTGAAAAGTGGTGTCTCAAATCTGACACCTCACTTTCTAAACACAGCAGCACATCTAATTTTCTCTTCCTGCAGTTCTGGGCAGCTATTTTATTCTTCCCCCGTCGTCGTATGTCCCTGGCGAGGGCGAGCTGCTCGTCAGTAAGCTGGTAGCTGCTCAGCAGGTCGCTGAAGTCCTCCACAGGCAGGTGAACAATGAGCTCGTTGGAAAAAGGGATCTCGAGAGCTTGGGCTTGTCGTTTATCCCGGTTCCAGTTTTTGGTTTCAGTGATTTTATGGTATGGCTTTGCCTTGTGGTGTCTCAAAGCAGATTTAACCTGTTGGGGGGCCTTGCATCGGGATGGGGAAGATAATGTCTGGTTGTATGTGTGATCGTGGCCAATATATTCCAGCCAGTTAAAGCCATGCAGCAGTTTGTGATTCACATAGTTGTCAGGAAAGAGTTGTTTAGCATCTCCAACTGCTCCTATTTCCTCCTCCAGCATTTCCTGCTTTACAGTCACCTGAAGTTCTAAATCTGTACCAATTACATCATTCTCATCCCATCTGTCCTCATCTTCGCTGAAAATATTTTCAACAGTTGACACCAAAGATGGAGATAGGGTTGATGGTGTGAAGATTGAAGAATAATGAGTTGAGCCCTCAGAAATGTATGAAGAGCCAGAGCTATGGATGAAGTCCACAGAAAGACCAGAGTCTGAATCCATAGCATCTTCACCATCTAGGAAAAAAAGAAAGGAGGGCTTTACACGTTCATGTTTTCACACTTATTATTTTATTTATTTACCCTTTTTTTTTATACAGGTAGTTTCATTGAGTCACGAGAAGTCATTTTCAAGAGAGACCTATTTTGGGAGCAGATGGTGGGGGTTAAGGGCCTTGCTCAAGGGCCCAGAGTGGGGCAAATGAGGGTGAAGGCAAGTGTGGGTATTTCACCTTTTCCACTCACATTTTAATGTTGTCAGTGTGGGGATTTGAACCTGTGACTTTCCAATCACATGTCCATCTTCACTAACCTGCACCACCAATTCCCCAATTAATGTAGTTGCTCTAGTGAATGGTCCATTCTTTTTAAATAAATGGTACACCAAAATAAATGGTACACCATTGTCCCATATCACTGAGGGATTTAAAGGTGAACATTTATTTTATTTTGTTTGTTTGTTTTTGCTTATTTGAGGCAGCACAAAGGGACAGATTCTGGAGAGTGGAAGGAGCCGTTGTATCCATGACCAGGCACCATTGGCCACCCCCTGGCCAATGGTCAGGGGGTGGCCTGACCTCAATCAATGGCCTAACCCCAATCATCTGAAGAAACCTTACTTTTAAGCAATATAAAAACTAGAAAGCATAGTTTACTTAAATGAAAAATGTGGTCAGTTTACATGTATGTATGGTGGTGGCCATCTTGGATTTAGACTTGGCAACCTAATTTTTGACAGTGACCTTTCGTATGCCTGGATGTAGCCACACACCAAAATGGAAGTTGGCACGTTGCTTATTTTTCCAAGTTATGAGGCTTAAAACATGCATGATGGATGAACTGACAGAGGATATTTCCAATTTTTCCTTTTCACTCTGTGACAGGGGACAATTAAATGTCTAGTATTCCTTAAAGGAATGCATATCACTTGCAACCTTTCATGTCAGAGCTTTAGACTAAGATTGTCTACAGGTCCTTCTAAAAAAATTAGCATATTGTGATAAAGGTCATTGTTTTCCATAATATAATGATAAAAATGAAACATTCATATATTTCAGATTCATTGCACACCAACTGAAATATTTCAGGTCTTTAATTGTTTTAATACTGATGATTATGCTCATGAAAACCCAAAATGCCTGTCCCAAAAAATTAGCATATTTCATCCCACCAATGAAAGACAAGTGTTTTTAATACAAAAAACACCAACCTTCAAATAATCATGTTCAGTTATGCACTCAATACTTGGTCGAGAATCCTTTTGCATGAATGACTGCTTCAATGCGGCGTGGCATGGAGGCAATCAGCCTGTGGCACTGCTGAGGTGTTATGGAGGCCCAGGATGCTTCGATAGCGGCCTTAAGCTCATCCAGAGTGTTGGGTCTTGCGTCTCTCAACTTTCTCTTCACAATATCCCACAGGTTCTCTATGGGGTTCAGGTCAGGAGAGTTGGCAGGCCAATTGAGCACAGTAATACCATGGTCAGTAAACCATTTACCAGTGGTTTTGGCACTGTGAGCAGGTGCCAGGTCCATCCATCCATTTTCTTTACCCGTTTATTCCATTTTGGGTCACGGGGGTCGCCGGTGCCCATGTCCAGCAATCACTGTGCGAGGGGCGGGGTACACCCTGGATGGGTCGCAAGTCCATCACAGGGCCACATAGAGACAAACAAGACAAACAACCATTCACTCTCTCACTCAAACCTAGGGACAATTTAGAGTTACCAATCAGCCTAACATGCATGTTTTTGGTCTGTGGGAGGAAACCGGAGTACCCGGAGAAAACCCACGCATGCACGGAGAGAACATGCAAACTCCACCCAGAAAGGCCCCTGGACCGGGGTTTGAACCAGGGACCTGCTTGCTGAGAGGCAGCAGCTCTACCAGTTGCGCCACCGTGCTGCCCTAGGTGCCAGGTCGTGCTGAAAAATTAAATCTTCATCTCCATAAAGCTTTTCAGCAGATGGAAGCATGAAGTGCTCCAAAATCTCCTGATAGCTAGCTGCATTGACCCTGCGCTTGATAAAACACAGTGGACCAACACTAGCAGATGACATGACACCCCAGTGACCGTGAAAACTTGACACTGGACCTCAAGCAATGTGAATTCTATGTCTCCTCTCTTCCTCCAGACTCTGGGACCTTGGTTTCCAAAGGAAATGCAAAATTTACTGTAATCAGAGAACATAACTTTGGACCACTCAGCAGCAGTCCCAGGCGAGATGCTTCTGACGCAGTCTCTTGTTCAAGAGTGGCTTGACCTGGGGAATGCGTCACCTGTAGCCCATTCCTGCACACGCCTGTGCACGGTGGCTCTGGATGTTTCTACTCCATACTCAGTCCACTGCTTCCGCAGGTCCCCCAAGGTCTGGAATCGGCCCTTCTCCACAATCCTCCTCAGGGTCCGGTCACCTCTTCTCGTTGTGCAGCGTTTTCTGCCACACTTTTCCCTTCCCACAGACTTCCCACTGAGTTGCCTTGATACAGCACTCTGGGAACAGCCTATTGGTTCAGCAATTTCTTTCTGTGTCTTACCCTCTTGCTTGAGGGTGTCAATGATGGCCTTCTGGACAGCAGTCAGGTCGGCAGTCTTACCCATGATTGCGGTTTTGAGTAATGAACAAGGCTGGGAGTTTTTAAAAGCCTCAGGAATCTTTTGCAGGTGTTTAGAGTTACGTCGTTGATTCAGATGGTTAGGTTAATAGCTTGTTTAGAGAACCTTTTCATGATATGCTAATTTTTTGGGACAGGCATTTTGGGTTTTCATGAGCTGTATGCCATAATCATCAGTATTAAAACAATTAAAGACCTGAAATAATTCAGTTGGTGTGCAATGAATCTGAAATATATGAAAGTTTCATTTTTATCATTACATTATGGAAAATAATGACCTTTATCACAATATGCTAATTTTTTTAGAAGGACCTGTAATGTTGAGAAATGACAGAGTTGTAGCTATTTTGGTCAAACCATCAAATTAATGTTACACAAGATGTCAAGCTCAGTGTATGTGTTGTGAATGACTTAACTACTACATTACATTTTAGCTCATTGTTTGTAACATTGAGTAATAGCAATTTTTTTGTTGCTAACTTTGATCAGCTGTGGAAGCCAACTTGAATTGATTTACAAAAGTAAATCAGTTGATGTACATCCAGTGATTATTTTACGAAAGTTTAATTAAAATCCATTCAGTAGTTCATGCAATATTTTGCTAGCAGACAAAGAGGGTTGACGCCTAAAGGTAATGCTAATATTTTAAGTGAAGATTTTGCACAATGAATAGGACTTAAAATATACGTTGAATGATTCTTAACTACAAACACATCAAATTTTAGCACAATAGTTTTTAGAATGGACTGAATTATAGCCATTTGGATGTCTTCTAAGAAGTGCTGGTTGTGGCAGCCATCTTAAATTGGTTAGGCTACAAAAGACATAGTTGTAGATGTGTATCTAATGCTTTCTTCCTGAAAATTTCATTAAAAAGTGTTCGGTGTTTGATGAGATACTTTGAAAACATACAGACTAAACACATTAACAAAGGCACACAAAAACAGACAAAATGACTATTGGCACCTTTCACCTTTTGGCAGTGGGTGATCATTACCTTCTTTCTGACTTGATGGCCTCTGATCGCTACCAGTTTCTTGTTGGAAGATTTCACCATCGTTGTAGACTATCTCTTCCAGCCTGTCTGCCATCTCAGAAATGAATCCTTCCTCTAGTGCTATGTCTAACAGTTGAATGCCTTCTAATATGTTAGGATCTTCTAAAAGGTCAGTTACTGGTCTAGGGAGACCTTTTTCGTCCTCTTCAGGTTGCAGAAAGGCACTGGAAGGAGAAACCATTAGGTCTTGGGTCAAACTATTCCTCAGGGGAATATTTGGAGCTGGGAGGTCACATGATAGAAAGTGAATACCAAAGCCAGAAAAGTTTTCAGACTCCAGTCTATCTTCTTGTGTTAATAGATTCATGCTGAAATGAGTTAAGTTATTTACTCCCTTTACAGATTCTTCTAAATCGTCTGTAAGCAGATCTGTGTAATTTGTAGGAGTGTTTGACGAATATGGATCAGAGTTTCCCAAAGTGACCCTTGTGGTTGGTGTGGGACTGTGGTCATCCAATTCTGTACTGGGAACCAGAGGAAGCAGGTCTGGTTGAAGCTCTGATGGGTTTGGAGTATGCAACAAACCTAGACATACAATACATACAAACAAGAATGCAATTAAGGCACACCAGTAATATAAGAAAACATAATTCTGACAGCCAATCACTCATCAAACAACCAATCAATTAGCCAATCAGTCAAATCTATCAACTCTATTGATCATAATAAATCATAAAATGAATACTATTCTTGAATATTTGGTTCATGAAAACAATTAATTAATTAATTAATTAATTAATTAACATTTGACCAATTAAAAAAACAAAAACAAAACTTAAAGGCATTGGTAAAACACCAGTGTGTGCATGGTACGTTAAAACAAAAAATATATTGCAACAGGCCACGTTTGTCATAAATGAATCAAGATCATCAGTCTTCTATCAGATGGCAGCAACTTAAATTATGGCAGCAGGGAAGGAGTTGGGTCATTGTAAACCTAGATTGCCTTTTCTTTTTTCCAGAACCTGATTATACAGGTCTGTGAGCTGCATTTTGCTGATTGATAATTTTGCCAGCATTTTTGACTAATTGTTGTTCCTGTCTCTGGCTAGGAGACCATTTTGAAGGAGACAACTCTTTCAACAAAAGACCATTACAGGGTGTGTTTGATATCAGGTCTCTCTTGTAAATGAGTCCTCGAGGCTCAATGGGATTTACCTGTCTAAAAGGTTGAATGAATGATGTCATTGAAGCTGCTTAGCTTACCTAATTGTTGTGGAGCTTTTTTGAAAACACATACAACATTGGGCGAAAGGTAAATTTGTTGTTCTTCAATCCATCCATCCATTTTCTTTACCCGCTTATTCCATTTTGGGTCACGGGGGTCACTGGTGCCCATGTCCAGCAATCACTGTGCGAGGGGCAGGGTACACCCTGGACAGGTCGCAAGTCCATCACAGGGCCACATAGAGACAAACGAGACAAACAACTATTCACTCTCTCACTCACACCTAGGGACAATTTAGAGTTACCAATCAGTCTAACATGCATGTTTTTTGTCTGTGGGAGGAAACCGGAGTACCCGGAGAAAACCCACGCATGCACGGAGAGAACATGCAAACTCCACCCAGAAAGGCCCCTGGACCGGGGTTTGAACCAAGGACCTGCTCGCTGAGAGGCAGCAGCTCTACCAGTTGCGCCACCGTGCTGCCTGTTGTTCTTCCAGTGCATTTGAATTCAGTCACCTGCTTCACTTCCTGCCCTTTTATGATAGGAGGCCTGAATGTGGGTCTCATACAAGCTGCTCCCAGTCTACCCCCTTGGCAAAGCTCCCTGAAAGTTACAATTATGTATCCATTAAACTGCAACCTAGCACATTCTCGTAAGTACCAGGAAAAGTACTCATTGCATTCAAGGAATATAAACTGTAAGTAACAGGCCTGTTCTTGGGGGCGGCTGTGGCTGAGTGGTTAGAGCAGTCGATCTCCAATGCGAGAGTTGGGGGTTTGAATCCACCACCAGTCACATGCTGAAGTGTCCCTGGGCAAGACACTGAACCCCTCATAGCCTCTGATGTGTGTCCCATCAGTGTATGAATGTGAGCTAAAGCAATGGTTAGTCTCATTAGAATGATTTGTTCAATTAGCTTTGTAGAGATCTAGTATAGAGCTGTATGAATGGGTAGATGAGGACACATTGTAGTGTAAAGCGCTTTGAGTATCTTGAAATAAGATAGAAAGGCACTATATAGGTACAGTCCATTTACCATTCTCTGTAAGTACCAGGTATGAACCCAGTGTTTAGTCATTTTGTACTCTGTTAGTGTCAGGTACGTACTCTGCAAGTACCAGGTTTGTGCCGTATACTGTAAGTACAGTCTATTTACCATTTACAATGATGAGCTCTATCCAATCAACTCCTTGTGAAATGTAAAGATGCATGATTGTCAGAAGCTATGTGACAGTGTGGAAGAATAGGCATTTATGTAAATGTCACCATAATCAAGATGATTTAAAATGTTGCCTGAAGTTTTTTCCTGACTGACAAATTAAAACAGGCTCTATTTTGGGCTCAATTTAAGCCTAATTTAACACTTAAAACCTTTTTATAAAATGCTCAATGTGCACTCTAAACAAAAGACAATCATCCAACCAATAACACAAATATTTGCAGGCTGATACTGTTAAGCCTCACAGTGTTGCTGAAAGGTAGTTTGAAGGTTCTCAGCAGTCTGGCTCAAAGATGAGCCCAATGAATAAAGTACGGCATCATCTGCATAAAGGTACATTTTTTCCATAGGTATATCCAAACCAATGCTATTTGTATTTTATGTCTTTCAACCAAAAAAAAAAGTGTTGCTTTATTTTACTCTTTGAAACATTTAGTAGTTTAATATTTCTTCCAACTCTTGAGTGTTTGGGAAGCAGTTTGATTCCCTCACTTTGTGTTCAAACTACAGGAACAAGTTGCTGAAGTGAATTACCGTATTGGAGAAGAGGGACTGGCTGATGAGCCTGTGGTACGACACAGCTGAGGCACTTTTGGAGTTGAGGCAAAGCATCAGATTCAACATTTTGACATGTCCTGGATGCTTCTAGGTCCATGGTGTTATGAAATACCGTCATCATTTCTACCTGTGTGTTCTTAAAATAAACGAGAGCAAGAAAAAAAACAACAACCATAATTTCTTGATTTTTTTTTCCCCTTTTACTTCTCTAATTATTTCATCCTATTTGGCAAATCAGTAATTTTCTGTCTTTCTGCCTCTCACCTCAGGTTGCAGGATGTCTAGGAGATCTTGGAGGTCCAGATCATTACAGGAATTTTCAGGCGTAATAGGAGGCTGCAGGAGCTCAATGTCTAAAGTGTGACACGCCACGACTCCACTTCTACCATCAACGTCCCTTAACTAAATGACAGAACAGCACAACATTTAAAATATTTTTTTTTAAACTTGCAGCCAGAATCAAGTTAAATTAAACTTTATTTAATAAAAATATTTCATGCGACCCAATGTGCTCTCCATTAAGAACCTAAAACACAGAAAAACAAAAGTTTTCAAATTTACATTCATACAAATGTCTATCTTCAGTTGTAAAAAAAGTTGTATGATACCCATACATTATTATTTATCAATATGATCATTAAAATAGAAAGGATAAAATTTAATTAATTAGTTTACCCTGTGTAACATGAGAAATGATTTTTAAGATCAAATGAGTTTAATAAAAAAAAAAAACTTAGTTTGTGTAGTTTTTGTTGTCGTCATTATTGTTTGTTTATTGTTTTAAATGACTAACAGTTATATTGTTCTTTAGGATAATAAAGTTGCCAAGAATTAACTCCTTGTTATATTTTCATGTGAAAATGTTTTGAAACATCAGATAAAAGTATGTTATTTCAGGCCGTTTTAGATTAAAATTTGAAGAAATGTTCACGATTAGGAAACCAAACATTCAAAAATAAATAACTAGACCTCCTCAGCCCCCTTCTGCCTGGTCTCAACATGCTAATACTATGTTGAGACCTTCTGCCCGGTAAACAGGGTGGATTGCAAAACTTTGACCCATAAATACACGTCAGTGAACAACAGGCCGGTGATCAAGTTTCAAAACAAGTCAGCCAAGCTGAGAGTGCACAGATTATTATTTAGTGTGACTGTACAAGTAATTTGTGCTTGATATTTAATACATGAGGGGAATTCACAAACACTTTCATAATTGCTTTCCGTTTGATGAAGCAAGACTGGCAGACTGCACTATGAGGACACACACATGCACACTCTTATTCTGCGTGCATGTGTGTGTTGCTGGCATAAAGGCATGAATCCAGGCATCCAGTCTGCAGAAACAGACACTGATCAGCTGCAGCTCCAGTTCAGGATGAGTACACCATAAAGTTTTTCCACCGAAGCAGTTCCAGTTTCAGATCAGGGTCGGTGCTATAACTGTTTTTAAACTGGTTCCCTATAAATCATTAACAAACCAGTTTGTTTTTTGTTGAAAAAGGTGAAGGTTCAAACATGGATTTGATGAGATGTTCTCTCAGCTGCTGGATATTACCCTTATGAGGCCCACACCTCATTTGAAGATATAAACAAAGGCAACCTCTCAATCGATTATGTTCTAACGCACCCTGGATGTGTGTTAGAACATAATGATATGTGATTTTTCTAAAGTAATCATTTATATATCTTGTAGTGAACTCGGCCTCCGGTCAAACCTGCCTCTGAAGACCTTCATGGGACAGGAACTGTTATTTCATTGATTTGAATCCAGAAATACAAATTAGCTCATCCAGAGACTTTCTAATTGTATCCTGAACTAATCAATTGAAAGAACACTCTCTTTTTCATATTATCATTACTATTTTACAATGTCTTGATAATCAAAAGTGTGTTTAGTTCATACCATTTTAAATGTTGAAATGAACCACTCATTTTAAATCAACTGTGAAACAGTATTAATGATTTTTTAATCCTCATTCAAAGTAGAAATCAAGTTAAATGTCTATGTTACAAAGTAATTATGCATTTTTGATCTTCTGTCTGAAATGAGAAAGGAATGATGTCTGTCAAAAGTCGAAGACAGTCGCAAACAAGTTATTGGAATGAACTGTCGTGTTTTTAAACCTCTCAGACAGGAACAAGAGAACCTGTAGTTTTCCTCTCTTTGTCAAAACATTTCTCTGTCTGTTCCTAAACATCTCCGCTGTTTTTCTGACTTGTAATGACCCTCTGACATCACTAAAACCACACCCCTGTTGGTTCTTTCAACCAATCAGGACTTCCTAAAAGTGACCGAAAGCAGAACTCTTTAAAAGTCGACACTTCCCAGTTCAGAAAGTTCTAGTTGGGAGAAGTTCAGTTCTGGAGAAAGTTCTGAAGCTGGTTCTGATAGAGTTCGGCTGGAGTTCCTGTCGGAGCCACGACGCCTCACTGTGGCTCCACCCGGTGAATGCCCTATAACTGCTGAGGAAGTTTGTTCTGTGGAACGGATTATCTCATGACTTCTGCCGAGTCGCAGTCGACCTGAGGAGACACCGAAAGGTAGCGTGCCAGGGACCTCTTGACCGCAGCTGATTCATCCTCTGCCAAGGTAAAGAGTCGTCACGAGCTTCACTACCAGTGTACCGCGGGCGAACTGCGCTTGAAAGGAGCGTGTTGTTCTGGTCTACAGATATACATCCTCATCCATCCATATTTCCTTTAAACTCCTTCATTTCCCATCTTTAAACTTCTATCTTGCCAGTAATTAATCCAGATATCTTCAGAAATGTCTGTTGTTTTTGTTAAGTAAAACGTGCCAAGTTTTATTAATCAGAGCCAATAGTATAATCAAGTGTACAATGTTTTGATGTTAAATTTTGATTCTGTTAATAAATGACCACATTCATTTTGATGGGTCAAAGAAAATTAACGTCTCATGTCACTGATTAGACCATCTCCAACACAGTACCTCTGTCACATATCTGTCAAGTAGCTCAAAAAAGTGAGAACCCGTTATTAAAAATTGACTGTAGTGGAGCTCTTAAGCTAACTGAAGCTAACCTAGCCTTAGCATACTACAATCTTGTGTTGTATATCATTTTGACATACCAAAATTATTTTTTTTTCCCTTTCCCACAGTGATCATATTAACCTGTTTAATGTTAATTAAAGTTAAGTCCGGTGTGTACCCCACTCACTTTTGAATTCTGTGAAACCACCTTCCTTTGCCATCTTCTTCCCATATTTTTTGCATATTTTTCCCTTTAATTTCCATTCAGAAATGGTTCTTGCATCTGACTTGTTGATGGATATTGTAAAGCTGATTTGATCATTTGTTGCCTTTATTCTTTTTCTCCCGTCAGCCTGCCATGCCCATCTTCACCTGCTTCTTGTTCCCGTCACAGCTTCCCTTGTTGGTCACCGCCTTTTTATTCTGTCAATATTCAGTTTCACAATAGTGGTGCATTGTTGGCTTTCATGCCACACTCTGGTGTTTTCCATGCTCTTCGTAATTCTCCATGTGCTGCTAGTGACTCATCTCTGTGTACGTTTTCTGCTGTCTCGTCAGCTTTTTGTTTTATTAAACAAAGAAGTTTGGTTTTTGAAACTATTCAGGTTGAGTTGCACATATTGTTTTTTCTAGTTTGTTTTTCACTTGTTTATTCATAGAATTTTACATTTTAAAACAGCAATTGGCAACAAACAACCCCACCCTGCCACCCTCCCTCTACAAACAAGTGTAAGAAAAACAAATAAATGAAGAAGTAAAAACATTTGCAGTGCTGTCAGAACATTACAACACCCTGCACCTCCAACATAGGATCCACAAATTATCAGTCATGCTGGATCTTTCTTTTAATTCAGTTGAAAAAAATTACAGGGACTCTCTAATCCAGTTTGTATAAGGAGGTGGAGCTGCATATTTCTGATTTAGCAGTAACCTACTGGCTGGAAGTGTTTTGTGTATACACATACACACATACATTATATATATAAGT